CCTAACGTGTGTGGGAGCCTGGAGTGTCCTTTTAATAATATAAACCCACCCAGTATAACTAACTGTAACCTAACCTACACAGTGCATCTAACGTGTGTGGGAGCCTGGAGTGTCCCTTTAATAATATAAACCCACCCGGTATAACTAACTGTAACCTAACCTACACAGTGCATCTAGCGTGTGTGGGAGCCTGGAGTGTCTCTTTAATAATATAAACCCACCCAGTATAACTAACTGTAACCTAACCTACACAGTGCATCTAACGTGTGTGGGATCCTGGAGTGTCCCTTTAATAATATAAACCCACCCGGTATAACTAACTGCCAACACACGGTGCATCTAGCGTTATTGTAGGGAGCTGGAGTGTCCCTTTGTGTAATATAAAAACCCACCCAGTATAACTAACTGTAACCTAACCTACACGGGTGCATTTAATGTGTGGGAGCCTGGGTATCCCTTTAATAATATAAACCCACCCGGTATAACTACCTGTAACCTAACTACACAGTGCACCTAGCGTGTGTAGTAGGAGCCTGGAGTGTCCCTTTTAATATATAGAGCCCACCCGGTATAACTAACTGTAACCTAACCTACACAGTGCATCTAACGTGTGTGGGAGCCTGGAGTGTCCTTTAATAATATAAACCCACCCGGTATAACTAACTGTAACCTAACCTACACAGTGCATCTAACGTGTGTGGGAGCCTGGAGTGTCCCTTTAATAATATAAACCCACCCAGTATAACTAACTGTAACCTAACCTACACGGTGCATCTAACGTGTGTGGGAGCCTGGAGTGTCCCTTTAATAATATAAACCCACCCAGTATAACTAACTGTACCCTAACCTACACAGTGCATCTAACGTGTGTGGGAGGCCTGGAGTGTCCCTTTAATAATATAAACCCACCCAGTATAACTAACTGTAACCTAACCTACACAGTGCACCTAACGTGTGTGAGGCCTGGAGTGTCCCTTTAATAATATAAACCCACGCAGTATAACTAGCTGTAACCTAACCTACACAGTGCATCTAACGTGTGTGGGAGCCTGGAGGGTCCGTTTAATAATATAAACCCACCCAGTATAACTAACTGTAACCTAACCTACACAGTGCACCTAACGTGTGTGGAAGCCTGGAGTGTCCCTGTAATAATATAAACACACCCAGTATAACTGTAACCTAGCCTACACAGTGCATCTAACGTGTGTGGGAGCCTGGAGTGTCCCTTTAATAATATAAACCCATCCAGTATAACGGTAACCTAACCTAC